AAACAATAGTGAATAAGTAAAACACTGAGTGGAAACAGACCAGTTCTCTTCTTTATTGGCTTCAAAGCCTCTGTGTACCCATTTTTCTGCACCATCCTGGTAAGATTAAAACTGAGTGAACATAACTATCAAACAAAAATGTTTGTATGTACACCTACATATGGCAAATTTCTTTCCAATGATGCTTGCACACATAAATTCCAGAGTTCACAGAACACTCTGCGCAGAGCATTAATTTTATGACAAGCCAGTAATAGTTCATTGTGATGTTTCCTACCATTTTTTAACAGGAAGTCTTCGTTACACCAACATGTTGCTGATAGTTTTTAATATTCTCATCACCTGTCTATGTGATAAACTATTAAATTTTTTAGGAGAAATTATAGGAAGATTATATAGAAGTTGAAGGCTCATACTCTGATTCCTGGAAATAGCTCTAAAGCTCTCTTCATGTCACTGCATGCATCTTCTTTGCATCCCAAGTCCCAATAACAATCTGCTCTTTCTCTCAGTAGTTTGCCAGCATAGTGTGGTCGGCTTGGAGGTGTGAGTTGTATGCTGTGTGTAAATAGCAATAATGCTTGCTCAAGTGCTCCAGCCTGATGAGCAAGGATTGCTTGATGCCGCAACTCTATAGCATCCATCTTTCAAAATTCCTTTACTGCAGAGACAATAAGAATTCAAGATTTAGCTTGAAAAAAAATCTTTAAATTCCTTCACTTCACTACTTGCAACAGTCTTTTAACTCTTTAACTAAACTGCTCTCTAAAAGAGCTCAGATGCTAAGGGAAACTTTGTCTAAAGGCAACTTGTTTCACTTTTCTTTCATGGAGGCTTTTAACCCTTTAACTCCCAGATCAAATTTGCAATTCTCCTTACTGTCAACATTCAATTCTTATAATGTTAGTTCAGAGAATTTAGTATTGGATCAATTAATTATCCCCAAATTGATATTTTTCTTTGTTCTCATTATTAATCTGGTTGATATTGTATTGATACTGTACAGAGAAACTCTGCCTTGATCACTCATGGGAGTTAAAGGGTTAAGAGCCAGGGACCTTTGGGTACCTGTTGACTCTATTGAAATCACAGCTTCACTCCCAAGACATGGAACTCAATTCTCCAGGCTGACAAAATATGTTTCTTTGTTGACTGGTCAATTTGGTGCAAAAAGATGCCTGGATATTTGTGTGCAGCCATTATGTTATGAGAAGTGAACCATTTTCCACAAGTGGAGCTCAAGGAAAAATGTGAGCTTCAAGGTAACAGAGAATGTACAAGGACAAATAGACAAGACATTTTCATGCCAAGTGGAGGCTACTGTGTTTACGATATCTTTTGAATAGTTTTGCAATACATAGAACAAAAAGTGTACCATATATGTCTCTTTGACTATCACAATAGCAAAATGCTCTCTCATCTTGAATTAAATTCTTATTAGACATAAAATTTACAAATTGGGGAACATCAATTATGGAAAAAATGAACAATAGCCTCTCTTTGGCAGTTGGGTGAGCTTCAAGGAACAGATAATATCCATGGACAAATAAACGTGCATATTTTTGCACCAAATTGAGGGTATCACATTTATTATCCTTCAAATATTTTGTAACAGGTGAAAAAAAAGGTTTTGAAACAGCTTACCATTTTCTGCATGGGATGTTTAATTTAGAGTGATCTCTGGTATGATTTTGTGAACAAACAAAGATTTCTGTTCTTCTGTATAGCAACCACAAAATGCACTCTCATCTTAAATCAAGTCTTAAAAGAAGACCTATCAAAGTGGATGTAAGGCTGAACATAAGGGGAATATAGGGGAGTGATCTACTAGGATGTCCTCCAGTTTTAGCAGGGGGAATATTTGGTCATGTGATGCATTTAAGCAAATCAGGCACAAGCAAAAATATTTGATGGACTACGACACTGCATATTCCCCAGTTTTAGCTGAAGCATATCAGGTCACGTGACATTTTAAAACCAACTGCATGCAAGCAAAAAAATTTGATGAATTATTATGGTAGCTAGCCAGTTTGAAGTATGCCCACCACTCTTCCTCAGGACTGTAAACAGTGATAGTAATTCAACATTCAACATAAGTATCACATAAACAAATCATAAATGGTTCCTCTCCAACCGTCTACCAAAAGAAGGAACACAGAACTGTTGAATGTGATTTATTTCCGGTTAACGCCAGCTGGAAAGAAATTAAATGAACCTATGTTCACTCTGATAACTATCATACCTATCACCGATTGAACAAAACAGCGTCGTCCATTCAATCTTTTTAGGGCGAGTTTTCTGTGATTAAAAGAAATATTAATCTCCTATTCTCTGAATAACAATATAAAATGAGGCTGTTCTTGAAATAACTGATGAAATGTTCCCACACTGTAGGACAGAAAACAGAAATTTGAAATTCGTAAACAAGCAGTTTGAGTTCACCATTCACGCTGAACTCGTCCACTGTTCAATGGTTTGATACCATTGACAAGCTCAACTAAAGTACAATAAGAGTAACAGCAGTGTCATTGGAAACATAAAGCAATATTGCTTTGTGTTATTGACATTCCTTCTGCTGAATGAATATTTAATCCCTCGTGAAGAAATTCATGAATGCACCAACTCTCGAGCTTGACAAAAAGCAAAGGGGAAACTGTTTACGCAGCGAATACCTTGCATATCTCTCATAAAGTCTGTCTAATCTCGCTAACTAGTATAGTCCACTCAAAAACACCTTACCTTTCACACACTCGAACAGAAAGCTTTATTTCCTGCGAAAATGAGAGGCAGACGAGAGAAACACAACATTATTGGTAGAGGTCGACGTGTTCATTCATTCATTCAAAACAATTTCGTCACTACAAAGCCCAGCGTCTTCGCCCCACTGCAAACTAGCAGCTGCTGTTATTGCGGAAAAGGTCCACAGTGACGTCCACCGATGAAAAAAGTGATTCCGGATGTTATGATTCAAAGCGAAAGGGTCTGTTCACAGTTTCCTTCAGCTTACATTAAGCGTGCTTATGCACTCCGCGCAAGTCGACGCGCTTGTCATGTGATCACGCGGGCAGCGATCCCAGTCAACACAGAGTAAAACTCGGCTATGCACAAACGTATTTAGACGACAAACGCTTGGCAATGGATATTCACTTTTTATTATCTCTTTGCAGACAAAGCCGACGTTTTTATTCAAAGCTGAAATATCTCCTCATTCCGTGAACTGGGTCAGCTAAATCAATATGAGGATCTCCTATGCAAAACGAAGTCAAAAGAGGCCATCGTCCTTTCCAGTTATGTCGTGGAAAAATTTGGACTTTGTGACGGCTTATGCAAAACCGTAAACGATCACTAGACAAAAACGAAGCTTTCAGAAGGATTCGTCAACAGCTGGGGTGTTCTTCATCGGCCATTCATCTGAAGCAGAAGTGCATATATCCTTGCATGCCCAGGTGAGATCCTTGATAGTTTGTGATCGTCAAAAGGGCTATTAATTTTTCAATTAGAGAACTTATACTCCTGAACACTGGACCACTGATAGTTGGACTTACAGTCGAAATCTTTGGGCAGAAGAAATAATATAATTGGTCGTCATATGGTAACTAACCTATGAAGGGCGATGGCGGTTTTCAGAAATATGACACCTATGAAATGTTATCGTTTGCCCGCAAGATGTAATAACTTTCGGTGTGGGTCGCGATGTGTTTGCGACTTCATACAGTTAGTTTTGTCGGCAAGAGGTGGGCTGGTTATGGGTCATTTCGTATAATTATGCACCGCTTTGATTGGTTGAAAGAGTGATGAAGTAAGATCTCAGAAAACTGACTCAGCTTGGTTGGCCGGGCTCGTGTGGAAAAGCTTCTGCGTATCAGCGACTAGTCATATTTTCACCTATTGCTGGGCCATTATGCATAGAGAGAGTTGGGCCAAGTTGTTGTAGCCAAGCCTTGCACTGGATTTTAAAAAGTAGTGTTCCTTTCTCCTTCCAATACGTATTTGGTCCATGGATCGGTGCTGAATATTCTTAGTTTTCGGTTTGGGAGGACAGATAGACTTAGAATTGGACAAATGACATATTGAATCATCCCCTTTAATATCACAATTGTGTATTTTTCGCTACATACTTCGAATGATCATTGATTTAATTTTCTACTCAACTGCATCACTTTTTTAGTTGCCAATCGCAACTAATCTACCTTTTTATGATTTCCGTCTTTATTTTAATCAAGTTTTAATGTGGAAAAAAGAAAATTTAAAGAAATTATTTAAGCAGCAAAGCTTTCTGAAAATACAGTGCACCATAACTGATTGAACCCTAAACCAGTGAAACCTAAACTGAAGGACCATTTTTAAAATTCCAGAGAAATAAAAAGTATTTAAAATCATTGATCGAGCTATAGAAGGCAAATCTTTAAAGAAAATGTCACATGGGGAAGTGAAAAGTCTTCGAGGGAGATGTTCGAGTTATCTTTCTCAAGTAAGTTGAATTACAGAAAAAAATATTTTCTCGCGAGTCGACTGTAACTAGTACATGACAAAAATGAAAAAACCTACCAATACTTGAGGTAACCCAAATCAAGACAAGTTCAAAGTTTAAAGACGAGTTGTAAATAATAATGCACTCAGAAAATCGTCAACCACTCCTGCAGGCAACAGTTTGAAAATAGCTTGCCTTGAAATGGATTTGAAAAAAGCTTATCTTCCCTCAAATTACAGTAACCTTCCTCCTCTTTAAAATTTCTAAAAGTTCGTTAAGATATGTCGAAATTTTGCACGATATCGGTATCTGTTTCTGATAGTTTAGAATTGTGATTGAAAATTTAATCAGGCAACAGGTCATTCAAAACTCTACATTGCTTGAAACGTATCTATACCACTAATTTATATACGTCTGTCAGGTCAGGCATTGGTTTGCTTGCTACTGGATAATCATAAAAACCGGTACTACCTGTCTCATGGGTCGGGGAGTCGGGGATTCAACCGGCAACCCCGCCCCATAGAGGATGAAACTGGGCACCCTGACAGGACTAAAACAATATCTGCCTTAAGGTCTGTGGTGGACCACTCTCAGTTACACCAGGTGAGACTGGACATCCTGGTACACGATCAACACGTCTGTCGAAAGGTCCGTTGAGGACTTTTGCCTGTCGATGCATTGTGACATGCAATACACAAAGAGCTTGGATAAACAAACCTATCATCTGGTTAGTCACTGCAACAGATACTGGAGTCAGTTTGTCTTGTACTGTCGTCGCCATTGATAACACCTCTATCTGCCAAGAATGTGCTGCTAGTCCAGCAAAAGCTAGTGGTACGTCAATACTTTGCAAGCAGTTTCATGAAATGGTCAGTCCGAAAACAACTCCTGCGTGGAGGAATCCTATCATACCTTAATTAAACAGTCATTGTCCCCCCGACAGATTACTATGATGATTTACAAGGGAAGGTATTTTTCACGCAACTGAAAATGCCCCCCGCAATCTGTCTACTTCTTACGCTTTTTACGAGGTTTTTTAGATTTGCCACCACCTTTTTTGTTTCCATGTGGGATTTCTTGAATGGGACTGAAATCATGTTCTTCTTCCTTGTCGTCTTCGTGCAATCCTTCGCCTTCTTCCTCCGGTTCACTGTCTTCATTTTCTGCAGCGAAGGACTCTTGTTTTGCTAAGGGTAAGAAAAAGCTGTGTATGATTCTTTTTTCATGTGAAAATAAATATCAGTAATGCAATGCTGCATCCTTGTTTCCATTGAAGAAAATAGTTTGCCTCTTACGTGAGTTGTTGCCTAAGAACCTGTGTCTTTTAAGATGACAAATATTTTGAGAAAAAGTTTGACTCATCAGCTGTCATTTATAATACAAGTTATAGCATCCTTCGAGAAGATCAAACTGAGAGACTGATCTAAACACCTCCCCCGCAGGCCATATTAGTATAAGTAAAAACATAATTTCGAGTGCGATTTGGTGTTAACAAGCATGAGTAAAGTTTTTCAAAAAAAAAAATTTGCACGAGCCCGTAACTAGGGCGAGTGCAATTTGTAGTCTTTGAAAAGTTTATAAGTGCTAATTTACACCAAATTACACGAGAAATCATGTTGCTTCTTGTCAATAATTTAAATGAAAAACACATCACCGAAAGTCAAGACGGACGAAGTTATGGCAGCTCGCGCGCGCTTTTTGTAATTTGCATTCGTGTTACAACTTTGCACTCGTGTTACATGCAAGGTGCACCCATTTTCAGCCTGAAGCAAACGCGCGTAATTTTTCATTTATATCACTACAAAGGAAATTTCGCTTCGAAGCTTTTAAGATATCGATACTTCTCCTAATTCCCGACGAATCTTCAAATAAGTAATCCTTAGGGTTGCGTAGGTTTCGAACGTGGGCAATCTAGTGGCGTCTATGATTCTCCAACGAAACATGCAAGCAGCACGCAAAGCTCGTCCAACAGTTTGCCTTGGGTTTAAAGATATCCACTGAAGTCATATCATTCAAGTCATGTGTTTTTCACCTGACCACTTTGTTTGAATGTTTCCTAAGTTTATAATTTTGATGTTGGTTGAAATGTATACTAGGGGCATACCCTTATGTGAATATTTCTAAACACCTGTCGTGATTACCTTGTTCTACGACTCTTTCTGTCTCTTGCATTGTGTTTTCAGACTCTGTTATTGCGTTTTGCAGAAGACTGACTTTTTCCCATTTCAAAGCAGTCTCTATGTTATGTACTTCACTCTTCACTGCTGAAAGACTCGCCTCTAGGCGGTCCATATCCAATTGTACTTTAACATACAAGGAATGATCCTCCACCACCTTGCTTAGTTGCGCTTCTCTCGTATATAAGGGATGGACTTTTGACAAATAAATATCTTTGTAATGGTTGAAAGCCTTCACTTTTTCCAAATGTGCTGGGGAAATTCCATGGATTACTGCATTCTCTCTCTCAATGTCTGTTGACGTTTCTTCTTCTGTTGGTTCACTGGTTCCTGTAGGTAATCCATGAAGAACGATTCGTTGTTTTAAGGTTATTAGTTAGCACACCCAATTAGTTTGTAACGCAATGACAGATCATTCAAGAGGAGTGAACAAAAATTGTGTTCTGAGTTGTTATCATTAATTGCAAGCTACCGAATGAGGACAGGTGTGAACATTTTCTTTAGCATTCTAGCTTCAGCTTGATCACATCATCAGTAAACGGCCTTTACTGGTTTGAGTGCATTAATACAACTAAGCTGTTTGCATACGTCACCACACACCTCTTTTTAACGTTAACCAAAGGGAAAGAGAGATGTTCGTAGACCGACTAAATTAATACATTAATTTGCTAATTTCAGAATGAAAGTAGGTTTTACTGAGTACCTTCGCTATCTTCATTGTTCATGTGCAGGGTGTCCTCAGCTAAAGGCTTGAAATTGATCCTACAGATCCCACAAGCAGATACGTCGACTCTGAATTGGGAAAAATGCTTCTCTAAGAGATCAGATTCTGAATTTATTTGTTCCTGGGTGGACTCTAGTCTTTGCAATGTCTTAGCTGGTACTACTGCGGCTTGAGCCTGCTTTTTCTCCAGTGACTTTATTCGTTTGTACCACCTTTGGATTGTGGTAGCCGCAAAATCTCGTTGAATGTTTTCTCTCTCTTTGCGCTCTTCTTCCGTAAGTTCCACATCCATTCCTTCCTCGGTTGCTTCGGCTTCGGTTGTATTTAAAGTTTCCGTGTCTTCAGACGTTTTCTCGCGGTCTGAATCCTGTTGCAGTCCTTCGCGTATGTGCGTTAGGTCTGTGTGAAATGTGTTTGGGTAAGAGGTTGGTTTGCATACTCCATCGTACCACAATCTTCCATTGTACCAGCGGAGATCATAAAGTTCTTCGGCCCTACTTTGCAGGAACGTCTTCAATATCATTACCACATCACGTGGCCCTTGCACCTCTTGGATTTTGTCTAACACGCTGTTGATGCGGCTTGTTAACCGATGGTTTGCCTTGATACGCAAGATTTTTCTGAGCATGAATTCTTCCAGATAAATCGAAATTCCTTTGGCACAATTGCACATCATGGTCAAGAAGAGCACCAAGCTTCTCTCTGCTTCTCCAGAGTCACAATACAATGGACTCTCTTTTGAGTCAAGAGCGTCCCCTAAAACATCAAATGAATCGGCCACCTCACCACATGTCAGCTTCACCATGTAGTCTAACAGAGAGCGAACGGCTTTAAGCAGTTTTATTTTGTTGTCTTCCTGCGCGAAGCTCTTCTCAACAGCTTGGTACAAGGTAAATGTGCCTTTGTCGGCTCCTGGCCTGCAATTGTCCCAAAACCTCACCATCGTCAGATAACTTGCTGGCAGACACACAGGATACCGGTTCTCTATAGACAAACGGCTGTACAGAGCAAGGCAGGCTGTCAGTTGATGCTCCAAGATCATAACGGTGTTGGCAATGGATGGATAAATCATCTGACTTCGCTTTGCTGTTAGAGTAAGGAAACGTCTAATGATAATATGAGCAGCGTTTTCCACGTCTCCGTGAACGTAAAGCCTTTTCTTGCCGTACTCCCACCATTGCAAGTAGCTTTCGTAACGTCCATTTTCATGAGAATAGATCATACCATTCTTTGCTAACAGATCCTTTGTGGGCCTGAATTTTGGCGTCCTTGTCTTCCTCTCGAACGATTTTTCCTCTTCGCAAATCCACTTCACCATGGACTGAGAAGAGTTGATTAGCTGCAGACAAAAGGAAACTTTAAGAAAATTATTCGTGTCTGACCGGCGCAGCTCCTCGGGATTTTCTTTCCACGAAACGTTGGCAAATTGAAAAATGCGCTTGGTGACCAGTTTAGTCCTGTTAAGGTGGCGAATGCTTGCTAATGAAAGGTGATATTCTCGATAACCTGACGAGGGAAACAAGAAGTCGTAAAAACGCTGACAGGTTCGGAATTCACGAAATTCTTTTATAATTAATGGGAGGGTCTCCTGCTCTTCTTTCCGTAAAGCCAACTGCAACTTGAACGATTCAACAACTGATTCCAAATAAATGAAATGGAAAAGAGCGAGAAAGCGGTTGTTGAAAAGGTCTACCGAATCTGCATGCTGATTTTCACAACTTGAATCGCTGCACGTTGTTCCCATCCCCTTGTTGGTGCACAGAGTATTTTTGGCCAGCGTCTTCTCAAGCATCACGTGAGTCATTTTTATTAGTTTGGCACATTCATTAAGCAAGAATCGTCGTATTTCCTTATGCGCATCAAGTGTGTTTATCGTCGCCTCCGTGTTGGAGGTATCGTTTTCAATGATTTTTGGATAGACCAGGGAGAATCTGCCCCCGGATTTGCAGAAGTACCTCTTTTCGTTAGCGGTGTCGGTTTTAAAAAGTCCAAAATGCTCTTCGCACTTTGTAATTTCTCTCTCTTCAGCCAAGGTTAGCATTTTGTTAGGCATGTGTAATGTAGTAATCAGCCCCAGCACTCTCTCCAAGGCTCTCACAGCCATCCACTGTTGGAAGGTTTTCGGAGGTGCAAAATTTGTCGTCTCAAGCAGCTTCATGACACTCTCTACTTCCCCACAAGGATTTTTACTCTTGTCAAACAATCTTCCCGCCTCCTGGAGCTTCCTAGAGTCATGAGACAATCTTCCCAGCAACAGCAAGGCTTCTGCTTGGCCATTAGGGTTACCACAAAGCTGATACTTCTCAATAGCTTTTTCAAGAATCGCAGAGCTGTCTTCTCTCCACGTGGTGGTGCGAACAAGCGATATCAAACAGTCGGCGGCAAACTTTGGATCGGTAGAATACCTTTCAGCTTCCTCAAATTTTCCCGCGTCTTTTAAAAGTCGAGCAGCTTCGTCCCGTCTTCCGTCATCGTCCAAGGCTCTGGCTGCCTCAATTATACATCCACGTTTCTTCAAGAACGTTATACGGTCGGTAGTAGATGGAAGGTATTGAAGGACCTCTTCCATTTTGATTGTTTCGCCTCTCTTGAAATGTTGGTCTGCCAGTTGATGACGTAGTCTTTCCACCGTGCGAGTAGATCTTGGGGGAATAATGCCTTGTTTACCCTCTAAGTCGCCACTTGATGCCAGGATATTGTAACGTTCAAGGGCACCCAGTGCTTCTTCAAAGATGCGTGCACGGCAAAAGACTTCGATCGCCTCCGCATAGTTGTTCTGTGCTTCGTAACATCTGCTTGCTTCCTTGTGAAGTCTTTCTTTCTTAAAGAGGCGAGCAGCGTCTTGAAACTATAAAAAACGAAAAAGTGATTGAGAAACAAATTGTCAAAAATACCAGAATCGAAAATCAGCGTTGAAATTAAATAAATATTTAGAAGAAAGCCGAAACAATGTTTTACGCCGATCAATTCAATTTCCCCCCCTTGATCGTCGTCCTTGCCCGGGGGTGAGGATTTTTAAGCTTGCATGATGGCTAAGGTGGGGAATTTGAGCCGAATACAAGTGTTATATCTTCAAATATGGAGGTGTTTAAAGGAAAATAGGTCGCTTCCACGAGCATATGGCTCAAAGGAAAAGGTTTACAAAGTCCATGTTTTAAAGTTTGGTCAATGTGTAGAAAGTCGCTGTCGCTGATCTTGCCTTTTTCAAAAAATGTGGGTGGGGCATCCGAAAATAATCTTTCCTCGGGGGGCGGGAACTTGAAAAAAAAAACAGTATTCGAAAGTTCAAATGCCTAGGGGTTTCCCGGAGGCGAATGTTGAAGCCTCGAGTTGATTAACGCATCACATTCATGGAAAACTAAACCTCAGCTCTGAATTAATTTACCGCAAGCTAATAGAGTATCGAAGAATTCATAAAGTCAGTTGTATTATTAACCTTTCCTGTTTTCTCGTACAGTCGAGCTAAAAGGGTCCACTCTCTGGCGTTATTTAGACAAATCTCGGCCTCATCAAACATGCTGCATTTCAGGAAGCTTTCTCCTGCCCTGAGGAATTCGTCCTTCATTTGCTGACGATTTGTGAAACGCAATTTAATGGCTTCTGCTGCTTGTTGCTGTGCTTGGCTTTTCCGAACCCAGACATCATCACCAGCGAACTCAAAGCACTGTATGGCAAGTCTCCACAAACTCCGTTTGTAGAAGCGCAAACCACCCTTTCGCCACTCGTCTGACGTTGATTTAGTAGCACAAATACTGGCCAGCTCACCAGATCCAGCGTCATTATCTCCCATTGATACAACTTTAACAAGGTCACGTTTCTGGAAAAACTCAAACATGGGTGCTCTAGATTCTTTGTCTTCGTCAAAGAACCAGACGTTGACTCTAGCTCTAGTGATAGCTGTGTATAAATACTTGAGCTCAGAATTCAGAACCTTGTGATTGTCCGGATCAAATTTAAGGGGACGTGAGGACTGTACCGTAACGCTGTCCTCTGTTACCTCAGCCAGACCAATCGAACTTGAAAGACCAGCGAAGCCTTCATCTCTCATAAAACTGGTAACAACTCTCCATTCTTTCGTAGCCTGGGGCATGAAAAAAAAAAGATATGTTTGTTCAATTACGGGAAATGCCGAGGATGCCTCATTTACCTTTTCAAAGCGCCTTTTAGTCACCTATGTTAAACCTAAACTATCATTTTGATTGCTATTGAACACGCGCTCACCATTCATTCAGTACCATGCTTACATCTGACGTATGGCTTAAGAGTGTTGATAGTAGCTTATTGCACCTTTAAAAACATCCTAAAACTCACTGAAGTATCTGTTTTTGACTCCATTTCAAGGTGCAGAAAACATTTTTGATCGATAAGTTTAGAGAGTTGGATAATTTACCTGAGAATCCTTAAAGAAATTGTAAATCAAGACGTCATCAAACTCAAGTCCCTTGGCCTCGTAGATGGTCATCACCAATCCTTGAGACAGTTCATCAGGCAATGCGTCTCTCGCCTCATTTGACGCCACAAGAACCACCTGGTGAGCACCAAACTCAATTCTTGAGGATTGCCGCTGATTTCCTTGAAGAATCATTGCAAGGTCTGTAGGACTGCAGGATTCCAGAAGGACCGGTCGGGGTCCTTCGAAAAGTCCTTCATCCTTCTGCAATCTGTCAAATGAGTCAGGAAAATATGTCAGCAACAAATCTACGACACTGGAGGCAAGACGTAGAATTCCTGCGTGTGATCGATAATTGTGCGTCAGTTGATACAGCTTCTTTGGGACTGTAATGAAATTATTCTGGTCATCAGTGATACCTGCCGCCTTCCTGGCGTGATGAAACAAAGACTTTAGATCATTAAAGCGGAAGGAAATTCCTCTCATTATACTCTGTGCTGTATCACCAGTAAAAAAAAGTTCATTGGGAGAGCGACAGCAACGAATCAATAAAGACAACTCCGCTTGAGTAAAATCTTGGGTTTCATCGACATAGACCTGATGAACTGACCATTCAGGAGCAGTGATGCGTTTGTGAATGTTGTAAACCAGGTCTGCTTCATCAAACATCCGTTTTGAGGATCGCTCTCGTTGATAAACTCGATACAGATCATAAACTACCTTTCTGTCTGCAGAGAAGTTTGGAGCCTTCTTCTTTCCTAGGGACTCATAATCCTCAAGTGAAAGCTCTCCATTTTCACTCAGCAGGGCTTCAGCAGAACCTTTTATGAAAGACCGTATTTCCGTCCACACCAAAGTAGGATGGTAATCAACCTTCTCCTTTGAAGTCTTTTTCATTTTTGGCCATAATTCAAGTTTGAAAACAGGGTAAGTGATTTCCCTTCTGGGGTCTTTGTCCTTTTTAATGGATGTTTCTTTCCCTTTTTTTTTAGTTTCTTCGCTACCATGTTGTGTTCCAACGCCCCCCTCGTCTTCTTCTTCGTGGTCACTTTCGTCGTCTGATTCCGTGGCAGGGATAAATTGTAAATGGCTATCTTCCTCCCCCCAGCCATCAATTTTCCGAAGCAAACTTCCATCCTCAGCGCGGTTAAAGAAGGTTTTGCCAGGAAGAGATGCATCTAACATAAGAAGCCAGTCCCTTGAATTAACAAAAAGTGGCCACGCTTCTGCAGCAACGTCCTGCATCTTTGCAGGAAGAGATTGGTCTTCAAATGGTATACGGTGTTGTGCTGCTGGGCAGGCATGGCATAGCTCCTTGAAATTTTTTTCAACCTCGCTGCAGAGAACATTGTTCTTTGTAATAAAGATTTGGTGAAGATGTTCGTACATCTCAGGTTGCTTCTTTTCTTCTTGATCATTGTCTTCAAGCTGGTTTTCTGCCTTTGGAGGGCAAGAGTTTGATTGCATTACTTGATCGTGATGGTCATCTCGTGACGCTGGAGCTGAAGCTGAATGTGACGAAGCATTGGGTTTTTGGCATTCTGTAGATGCAGATGCCTGTTTTGGACTACGTTCAGCTTGATTAATATCCTGCTCAATGCTACTTTGTAAGGTTTCATCGTCGTCGGAGCATTGACTAGTTTTCAATGGAGGGGACAGAAATCGTGGAATGTGGGGGCCAGCAGTTTCTGCACGTTCCCAGTAACTTTTAAACCGGTCCCATAAGCGATAGAGGCAGCAAGTAGTCTTGCCTGTACCACTTCGACCAAGAAGAATGATGGGCATCGGAGGATCTGGGCGAAGGTTAACGATGGCATGCTCGAGTTCAGTTATCTTGAAAGGAAAGTCGATCCTAGAAGAAATGTCACTTTCTAGCACTGTTCTAACGAGGGCAGTGCTAAATGAGTAGAACTTGAGAATGTGATATTCTTGCTCATTTGCACTTGCAGGTGGAAAGAAAATTTGAGGCAAATTGTCAGCAATGGTCGACTTCTTCGGTACGCTTTTCTTGGCTTGTGGATTTCCTTTTTGCTCCAAATCACCAATCTCTGCATACTTGTTTGGTAAACATTCGGAAGTTAACGCGCTGTTACCTCCAGATTTTACCGGCATGCCTTTGAGTTTCCTTTTCACAATGCAATCCATACCTCTGTCATGTGACTTGACGATGAGGCCTATCGAACGTTGAAGTTTGTCGTGGTCCAATACAATGTCCCACACCCGAATGATATCTGAGTAAATGCGACCCTCAGGATTCTTCTTATCCAGACGGAGCTCGGGGTTTTCGCTGCATCGACCAGAGAAGGCGATCGTTTTTTCCCAAATTATTCGTTGACCTTTTGTTAGCTTTGATTCGTAAAGCTCAATGTCTTTCCTCTTCGCTTCTCCTTCTAGTCTCTTGCAGAGTGTCTTACTCCATCTGCCATTGGCTAACATGCGAATTTTATCGATTATACGTTTCCTCGTAGAGAAACCAACTTTTCTGTTTCTCATAATCTTCCAAACTCGATCAGTACAGTCCACTTCCCATGGAAGATCTTCAAAAGGATATTTAGAGTCGATTTCCGTTTCTTTGTCACTGTCTCCAAGGATGTCATTCTCATCAACATATCGATCGTCATCTACGGTCTCGTCTTCAATCACCACGTCGTTACTCTCTGCAGCTCGAGGGCTCCTTGAAGACTCGTTGAAAATTTCCATATCGTCGTGCTCTTCGTTTGTATCAAATGCGTTTGGAACAAATGTGGAAAGAGGCGTTATTGCATCTATCAAGCTGACAATAGTTTCCCTCCTTTCCTTTCGCTGCAGCTGTTTGTGATCTATCTTCAAAACGTTGACGTTTTGAGGCGTGTTCTTGGCCTCTGTTGTTGGTTTTTCTTCATCTCCGTCTGAAACGTATTCCTCTTCTGCATCTGCCCATTGAAGTTCCTTATCGCGTTCTTCATTAGAGACCTTTTCAGAGTTTTCTTCGTGGGTGACAGACACAGAAGAGTTCAACTTGTAACATTGTAAGGTAGTATCTAACATCTTCCAACGAGGATCACGTTTGGATGGAACCTTTTGGATTGCGTATTCATTCCTCTTGTTTCGGAGGTTCGGATTTATATTTGCCTCTCGAAGTATTCGGATTGCGTCACACTTTTTTCGCTGTAAATTCTTGCCAATGCATGCAATGTGATAAAGAGTGTTGCCGTCCGTGTCTTGGACACTTTGAACTTCGGGGAGTGGGGACTTCAGCATTGCTTTCAAGAATTCAAATGTCCCTGGCGAATTGATAGTGACAAGTATTAATTCGAATATAGGTTATGTTCACAAAAATGAGCACTCGTAATTAAAAGGAAATGTTAACTCCAGAGAGGGTTAAGTCCTTGTTACTTTCTTTATTCTCTTTCAGTAAAGTGACACCAGCGTTTGTCTGCTGTCCTATCGTGCTCAACTCATACAATAGCGCTGCCCCTCTTGGCTTCTACTTTAATATCAATACCAATTATATTACCATTCTTCTGAAGACCACTCCTCAATGCTTGGTGAATTATGGGCTCTCCTTCTTTACTCATTACACAGGGGTTGGCTCCATTCTGCACCAATTTTTCCACAAGGGGTAAGTTTGGCGGTCTCATAGCTTCCGCTAAAGGTACTGTATCCGATTCTTCAATGGCATTTGCTGAGGCTCCATGCTTGAGGAGAACTGACACGAAAGTGAGTCGCCCAGGCTCATTGGATCGTATGATTTCTCCAAGTGGGACACTGGATGCGTTGATTTCAGTCGCCATTCCTCCATTTCCTGTCGGTTGTGATCCTGGTCCTCCTCCCCCGAGATACAGTATTCTTAGTTTACTCCAGTCCTTCTCCCTTATCGCCTCGCTCACTAGCTTTTCTAGCAGTTTGCTGGGCACAGGGGCCGTTATAGCTGATGTTCCCTCTGAGAGAAAGAGTTCATCATTTAATACGAACACAATCAAAATATGGCTACCCATAATTGTTAGTCTAGATCTTTCCACTTGTGGGAAGTTATTCTGTTTTTCTGTCTTATACCCCGTTCACACCAAAGCTTAAACATCATAAAATTTGCTTAGATAAACAGATTTAATAAGACTGGCAGTTCACACGGGGGCGCGCGTTTAACAAGATACGTCTAAAACCGTGTTTAACAAAACTACCTCGCGAGGTAGTTAAACAATCGTGTTTAATAAAACACATTAAAAAATGGCGGCAGAAACCAAAACGCGCGGAAGAGTTTGGGAGCACAAAGAAACCCTCCTGTTACTTGAAAAGTGCGGAGACGAGAATATCAAACTCTAGCTAAAATCATGCACAAGAAAAAGCCCTATATGGTTAGAAATTGCGGCATATCTTGGAGCTGCAGGCTATGAAGACAGAGACGACGGCAGCTGCAAGACACGAATTCACACTCTGATAAGCGCCTATTCCTAAGTTCTCTACCCAATCATTATAGCTCCAGCCATGGCAGGTCTCCTCCCAAAAGGATTGAGACCTGCTTTTACTCCAAACTCGAGGTAAACTTGGGGCACATTGAAATAGTTTTTATTGTCAACAACAATAAAAATACAGATGATACAAGACATCTGCGGCGGAGGTATCGCTAGAGTCGTCTCCTGGCAAGCTTTGCGCGATATTCCGCGATTCTTCGGCTTTCTTTTCTCCGTGTTTTCCAAAACAAAAGCACAATACCTCGTCCATCCGCCATTTTGTTTACATTTTACATGTTGTGGCTGTATGATGTTGTAACATTTTACCTCAATTACCATTACACGAACGCGAGGCTGAGCATGAACATGAGGCTGCATTGTTGCCAGCTCTTGTTGTTCGGTGTCAACGGGTTGATCAGTTAACCATGTTTAATTAACCATGGTTTCATTAAACTTTGTTTAGTTAGACATGTTTTGATGGTGTGAACGGGGTATTAGAAAGCGACGTTTTCGCTTCGGATTCTTCAAGAAGTCTTTTTACTTCACTAAATGACCTTTTGCAGGCGATTTCTATTTTTAATCTCTACCTTTAAGACTGGAAGCAGTAGCCAAAGCGTCACACAAAAGGGAATACATGAAGTTCTCATCTGTTGTTCTCTTTAGGCACTCGTTTGTAGCATGCATCGCCTCTTTTTTCCGTTTAAGTGCCTGAAAACACTTAAGTTGATGTACATAAACCTGTAAAAAGGATGCCTGTTGTCAATTCGATTGTGTATTTCATATGAAAGTAATGATAAATGTGCAGTTTCATACTGACGTGGTACCTACCCTAGACATTTCTGGGCACATCTTTGATGCGTTTACTGCATCTTCCAAACCGCTTTTGAAATTGTCCAGCTGTTGGAAAGCCTCTGAACGTTGGCACAACAGAAGTGAAAAGATCTCTTTTGAGTCAGCTGGAGTATACTTTAAAGCCAGATTCAAGTAGTCAATGGACTGGTTGTAATTCCTTAAGTGAAGGGTTTGGTCGGCTCGTTTTCCCCACCTCTTTGCTTCTTCCTTTTAATAAGGGTTAAAATTAGTCAGCTGACGTTATTTAGGAAGTGTCTATATCAACCCGTAAGGGCAAGAAAAGTATGTATTCTATATCCCCAGCAATGCGCGGTAGAGTACTGGCTGTCTAGACGAACGGTTATTTAAAAAACTGAAGACTCACTAAGAAAAAGAATACCTCTGATTTTACAGGCTGTAACTTAAAGCACTCCTTTCCTGCGTCAATACATCTTCCGTGCTCACTACCGATGAAGTAGGCCTCTGCCAGCGCGTGGTATATCGGTGCTGCTATAGTTTTGTCTTTGTTAGAATCCGAAAGGTACAGAGACATTTTGAGCAGCATTACTGCCTTTTTACTGTCGTTTGCATCTATTGCTTTGCGACCAAGTTGAAGCCATTGCTTCGGTTGACCCTGTGAAATTTAAAGACTCATTATAGAGGATCACATACACCAATTTATGAGAACTACTACTTTGAGCGATACTGAAAACGCCCAAGAAAGAGTTTGTCATTAGTATTCGATAACTTTTGCGTTATGCCATAATCAACGTTTTATGGGATCAACGACGTTATGACGAGCAGTTATCTTATGCCCAGACCATAATTAAATACTGGACTACGCATGTGAATGTTGGATTACACATTATTAGCGAAGAAATCTCACACCTCTCTGTTCATGAAAATCCCATGGCCAACTATGCAAGCTGAATCAGCGTTGTTTCTTAACAGAGTCACAGCTAGCGGAAAATTCATCATTTCCATGGCAGCCAAAAGTGGGGGCCTGGCGCAAGCTCGTAGTCCGTCCGCGGAGGCGTTACGTTGCAGAAGAACTTTGACGAGGCTGTGTACATCTTCAAAATTTGACTCAATAAGAAGGTCCAGAGGCACATACGAGGCGTCACATTCTCTAGCTGGTCCTCTAGATGATGTATTTGGGGCGCTACCAAGATATAGAAATCTTAGTTTCTTCCAATCTTTCTTCTCGGTTGCGTCCTTCACCAGAAATCGTAGCACGTCGGGTGACAGAGTGCAAGTAGTCTGTGATTCTCCACCTAAGAGAGGGGTTTAATCGAGTAGTGATGGTTCTTAGAGCATAACTCACCACAGTCTTCGAGCTCAAGAGTTGGATGTTTAAAATAAAGACTTCCCTTTCCTGATGCCAGGCTTAGTTCTGGTGTCGCAAAATGGAAGTGCCTTTTAATAATCTCAGCATAAGTGGCAGGTTCTCTGACTCATCTTATCGATTTGCAACATGGGTGCAAATACTCTTCCTACAGCTAATTACGCTCGACATTAAGGAAGTAATTACGATCGCTATGAACAGATTACCAACCTTCTATCATCATAGCGGTAGAAATCACATCTGTTGCAGTTATCTGTTTCTCTTTATCGCTGAAAGCGTGGGTGTATCCTTTACAAAATACTCGCAGAGCTTCTTGAGTCTTTTTCAAATGCAGAAGACATGTTCCCTTACGAGAATACCCCTAGAGATACGGTAACGCAAGAATACGGTAACGCAAGCTGTAAGTTTTATCACTTCTTAGCGATTAAAGGTTTGTTTACGTAACAGCACTCTAGCATTAATTACGCCTCAACTGAATTATTTCAGGAGAAGAAATTATGACGGAATCCCTTCATAACGAAAATTTGAATCACGAAGGGCTCCTGTTTAACAGAAACTATTTCGGACGTGAGAAAATTGAGTAAAATTAAAAAAAAAAAAAAAGAATTGCGCCCTAGTGATCAAATTTTGTGCGAAATCGACCATATAACAGGTTATGTTAGAATTGTGGGGGAGAGGAGTTGAAAGGGTGCCCCTGATCTCCTAAAACGTTTTTCAGTGTGAGTGCTGTATTTAACATCTAGCATCTCGTCTGGTTGTTTTATAATGGCAAACGGACAAAAAAGTTAATTGCTCACCCTAAACCACTTTGGCTTTATTTTGATGCATTGTTCTGCGTCTTCCAAGGCTTCCTTGAACTTCTTCAGGTTGTTTAGCGCCAAACACCGGTTGCTTAGAAGAGAGGCCATCAGCTCAATATTTGATATTGGTGTGAATTCCAAGGCAAGTGTATAATAATCAACCATAAGGTCGTATTTTCTTTCCTTATGTAACTCATTTCCCCAGCTCTTCCACTGTGTCGCATTACTCTTTATAGAATAACCACAAGTAAATTCAATGATAGATAGATAAATAACCAGATAGACCGACAGACAGCCATAAAAATAGACAGACAGACAAATACATAAATAGATAATTTCAAGTAGATCTGCTCGTGATCAACCGATAGAGCCTGACCTACAAGATACAATCTGATATCTGGGGGATTATTAGAGGATCATGTTTCACAGTTCCAGTTTCATCGATCGGATCTTAGAACTTACTTGCCGTATGACGCAAGTTGCCATTGAGCTAAAAAAAAGTGCGAATCTGCTGTTTACTGTTACCTCATTTTTGTATCCCTTCGGGTAATCTTCTTTTAATTCGCGCCCACTGTCGAGACACTCTCTAAAGTCCTTTTCTTGGAAGTACAATTCACATAAAGTTTGTAACGTCTCGCGCCGTTCCTCCATCGTGTTTCCTCTTTGTGTCAAGGAATATTGAAATAAGCCGATAGCTTTACTGTTATCTCCTTCTTCCAATGCTTTTTTGGCATCCTCTTTGAATTTTCTCTTAGATAAATAAACAGAGGAAGAAATAATGAACAAATTCATCGAGTAAACTAGTTATGTCAACTCGGTTCGTTAACTCTTAGTTTCCCAGGAGTAATGAAAAAAAACATTCCTCACAACTTTAATTTACTATCAGGTTGTCGGGGGATGGGAAAATCATTAAATTCCGGTGGCATTGTTGTTTGGCCATGGCCAAATTAGGTAGCTTTCACATCTTTTCACATCTTTTTCATAACTAAGTCTCGAGAAAAAAAAAAACATTCAATGATGCATTTAGGTGTCTTATTACTATAATTATGTTACCTTAAGTTGTACGCCAGGCCCTGAAGTAGTGTTTTTATCCATTAACACACTAGCAACATCAAATTTGTTCAGGTCGATGGCGAGCTTATAAGCAGTTTTTTCTCTTTTTTGGGGACTATCACGTGCTTTGTGATCCAACAGTACGCTGACGAATTTTCCGAGATCTGAAAAATCACAGCTTATTACTTCTGTTAATGGGACTTTGCTTGCATCACAGCCATCGGCAAGGCCTCCCAAACCTTTCTCAAACTTTTTAGGTCCTCCTCCACCCAAGAAGAGAAGATGCAATGTGGCCCAATCCTCGTCACTTACAGCTTTGTCTAGGACTGTTTGAATATAAGTCTTTGGAATTTCATATTGGATGCTTGAAGTGCCATCTAGGGAAAAAAGTTTCATTATGACGAACCATACTTATGACCAGGCACGATTTATCGATGTGATATCTTGATAGTTTACTCTCTTTCCATGCATCTGCCAATCCATTTGTTCAATGATCTATCCAGCCCTCCGTGTATCGATCTGTCCCTCGAATTATTTCGAATAATTCAACTAATTCAAACCGATAATTTGCACGTTTTCATTCTTTTATTAATTTACAATTCTATCAAACATTTAATCCTTCATTCAGTCATCTGCATATCAAACAACAAAAGCGCTATGGCAGAATTATGAATCATGACATGATTGACTGTTTACCTGGTAGTTCCAATGCTACGGACAGCAGTTGACTCAAAGTATCTACTGCTTGGTGGTCTGACCGTGAAGCATCGTTAAGTAACAAGTTCAGTGATTCTGAGAATTTTTCCATCGCTTCCCTATACTTTCTCTGCACAAATAAACAAGATCCCAGACGATAGTATGCCTGCAAAAAATGATATGTACCGTGTAAACGGTGAATATTTCAACTGAAACGGTGCACATGTATACTACACATGAGGTGGAACATCACGTCATTTAAAACATTAATTTATAGCTTGAATGCATCTACGTGGTTGCCACAGTTCTTGACCAGCCTATCCTTCGATCCCTTTGTAATACAAGTTGAAGTTGGTTTGCGGTGAACCATACATTTTCTTTCTATTTTTCTGGCACTGCTTTCTAACGTTTTTAAAAATATTCGGTACGTTTCACGGACATCAGGGATTGGATTGGTAGAATATTGTTTAATGAAATTGAGCAACAAGCTGATGTTAGGTTTCCAAGAAAATCAATCTTTTTTCCAAGTTACCTTAAGTACCTGTCAATTCATGCAAACTGTATGTGAATTGGCTAAAGCATAAATTTATGGGTGGATAGGATGTCTATGAGGAGAGGTTGGAATCGATCATGAAGACTTGTTTGTGAAATTGTTAATTCAGTTATAGTTTGTTGGGAAAATGATGGAATTTTGAAAAGCTTATGACTGCGGCAACTATGTCTTAATTTACCCAGTGGGTTAAAATATCAACATCCTTGCCTTAGGCCATCTAGGGTTGTTCTCCACAGAATTTTGTGCATCCCTCAGTGCCTGGTCAGCTTTTCCTTGCTTATTGTACATCAGAGAACGATTGGAAAAAATGGTCGCCTTGAGTTCTCTTTCTACTGCTGGTGTAAAGTTTAACGCAAGTGAATAACAGGCAATCGCTTGATCCACTAGATTTGGCTCCTTCGAGAGGTCGTTTCCGCGTTTCTTCCACCTTTCAGCTTCCTCCTGAATATACCAGAGTAATAATGAAGTATAAGGCCGATAATGAGCAATCATTGATCCCACCTCATTCCTAAGTCTTCTTTATGAGGACGAAAATGAGAACAAGGTGGATGGTTTAACAAGTTACTCTGTAAGGAACAGAGGTTTTGTTACATGGGTCTCCTCAAACATGAATAAGCTCGTTAAAAAAGTTGGTGATGGATCGGTAAGACTGATTGCATTTGCTTCTGAAACCCTGTTTTCTTCCATGCAAACTTTCCGGTCGAATAAGTTCTAATTTCACTATTTAATCTTATCTCTTACCTTAGACCTAAAGTTAGGGTTTGACTTGTAGCTTTCCTTTCCAACATCAACTGCTTTTTTGTATTGTTTAATTTTAAAATAAGCATTTGCCAAATGACTTTCAACAGAACGTTTAAATTTCATCTTGGAACCATCGTCAGGATGAAGCAGCAAAGCAAAAATGAAGCTCTTAATTGCCCACTGGTAATTCTGATTCTGCATGTTTCTGATGGCACTATTCTTCCTTTCATGAGCATGAAGCTTAAATAATGAAAACAGAGGAAGCATTTTGTTAATCCTGTGTCATAAACTTTCGTATAGCATTGCCTTGATTACATAAAGATCTCTCTAGGTGCCTGATCATTTAGTTCAGATGAAGTAAAAATGACCTACACCACAGTGGCATTTATTTGTTAATTTTGCTTGATAGTGCAATTTACACCTCAAAAAAAGTATATTTAATTCAAAGTTTTTTCCAGGGAAGAGCTTAAAAACTCTGAACAAAAGGACATGGTAATTTGGATCTCATGAATTAGACAAGATAAACTCACTAATCTAAGTGGCTAATAGCATCAATAAAAGTACGATTTCTGTGTTCTGTGATAAGATTTTTTGATCAAGTGTATCCTACAAAACAGCCAAACATCATCCAGTTATCTTACCTTTGCAAGATTTGGATCCAGTTTCTTGATTTCTTTCGTTTCCGTTGTTTCTCCTGTGATTTTACCCATTTCATATCGTGCAATCACCTGACACAGAAACGCCTGGGCTCTAGTTCTTGGTGAGGTATGGAAATAAAGGGCAAACTTGGCACATTTTTCGGCCATGGCAAATTGATGTCCCTCCAAGAGAGAAAAGCCATGATTTGACCACTTTAGTGATTCTCCCTGAAAGAGAAACAAACACAGAAACTGCAGCGATAAATCCATGACCGTCTTCTCACTTCATACTTGCCCATAACTTTAAATTAACAGAGCATTTGCTGCTGTAGTACTTCCAAATAAAAGAAAAATACTTAAATACAATTGGAAATTTAGAAAGAGAAATTGAAAACATTAACTGACAGGAGAACTTCAGAGTCGAACCTGCCACTGCAGCAGTTAACAAAAAATACTTTGATTTGCATGACTATAAGTTTATAAGTTTGGAAGAGGATGCAAAATTACAACAATCCAAAGAAATAAAATACTCTCAAGAAAAGAGTCAGGTCATAGACCAGAACCTGTTTGGAGCACAAATGCTTGTTAAATCTCTGGCTTCACCTTAAACCATTTCGTTGACTAACCTCTGCGAAATCGGCATCTCTTGGTAATCCATGCCACAATGCATTATCCATCTCATGCAGTGCCATGTCGACTTCCCCTAACTGCCAGTAGCACTCCGCTCGATCCATAAGGAATGGAGCAGCGAACTGTCGAGGCACCTTAAGAGATTCCAATCGAGCCAAGCCCATTGAAAACAGTCTTAGCGCATCAGGATAATTGTGGAGCTCCATGGACTTTTTTCCCATCATACCCAGATGACGAGGGTCCATTCCCTCCATCATGAAGCCTCCTCTGGTACAAAATAAAACGAGATCAACATCGTTCCGGCACCACATACCGTGATATTCTTCGAGTTGCTGGACGATATTCTGAAGCTAATAGTTTCTTTGTTATCAAACATTCAACATTACAGTCATACACTTAAAGCTGAATAGAACTTACTGATGAGTTTCACTATTCTGGAAAACTAGGGGCAATATTTGAGGACATGACTGAGGTATAATTCGCTCTTCCGAATGTTTTCCATCGCTTTCATGGCAGCGAAAAAAAGCGAATTACACAATCATGAACGTGAAGATATTCTTATTCCTTAAAATCGTGATTTTAAACCATCGTTGTATGTCCTATGCTTTCGTTTTCAAATACTGTCGATTGGAAACCAATAATTTCGTTTTCAGGTAAAATATTTCTGGCTGAAGTACAAATTTTAGCAAGGTATCAGCATCGAGAAGGAAAACAATCTATACCTTTCCGTTAAGATTTAGCCAAGAGTTCGTAACTTTAAGTAATTTTCCGTTAAATGTATGCGCTCGTTTGCAGAATTCGTTTATCTTCTTCAAGTAGAAGTTATAAACGTGTTGATATCGACCAAGGCACTTAAATGCTCTTATAGTGATAAAGGATACCGAACGCAGTCAGTTGATTATTTTCGATATTGGCGATGAGTCTTGACGAATCTTGTCGCAACTTCACTTAAAGTCGACTTTAACTAATCTACCACTTTCTCAGTAACTAATAGTCCTGACCCGGACGATCTTTAAATTCAAATTGATAAGAGAGCTGAACGATTTTCAGTTCCGTCTTGTTGATATTTTGAGCGACCACTTTCTGTAAACTCAAGCGTCAATGTACAGGTTTATGCTTGCCTTCATTATTGTGGCAATTCTGTGTTATAAAACTGTTCTAAAATTTTGGAAATTTGCTCGCCTTTATTTCTCACATTCATTACCGTAAACACTGTTTACTGGATCAAAATCATCTCGTCATATTCGACTAAATGCGTTTAATCTGACTCTTGTGACGAAATTCTATCGAATTTATCATTGCGGAAGATCACAAATGTATATTTTTCATCGACGCGTCTGCCATACAGTGAGCTGTTGAATAAAGAAATTATTTTGCGAATATAAATCCGTTTAAGGGCATACGGTGACAACAGAATTCAATTGCCTTTCGAGCGGCAGGAATTGTTGCTTATTAGTGGCGGCATTAAAACGTATTCTGAAACCCATTTCTATAACTGTGTCTGTATGATATTCTATGATAATCTAAAGAACCCCTTCCTTTGAATTTTACAACGCTTACCTTACAATAGAAAAGTTTAACTTCACATAACTGTATTTTCTTCTTTTGAAAAGCAAGCAGCGACGCTCAACTTCCGATCCACAGTGATTTGGAAGATATTCAAAACATCACGTTAAGTTATTTTTTTTTGTGGGCAAGCAACCGTGACAGATCAGCTATTAGCCAATAGATTTTGTCTTAGGAAAAAAAAAAGATTGTTTTGCACTTCATGTCGTAGCAGGTTTTTCTGAGAAACAGAGCAACGAATTCCGAGAAAAAAATAATTCATTCTAAGGCAGCTTAGACATTTTTAAAATTATTTTCACATAACGATCATAGTTTATTTGTACAATTGTATCGAGTTACACAATCTGTCCTAAATGTCGGTTTTAAGTAATTTTTCCTAAGAGTGTTGCGGCTCCTTGAGTGAGTTAGATTCTCGTTAATTTATTCAATAATCTAAGACCTTATTGCTCTTCAATTATTTGAGACAGCGAATAAGAAGTTGCTTCGAAATTTCTAGACGTGTCTTGTCGACATACGGGCTCATGATAAATTTGGACTCTGAGAACGGAAGTGAAAAAAAAAATAGACGATCGCTTTTTAGCTCGACGTGAAGACAGTTTACCACTGATGCAATTACCGATAGTTGAGCAGTTTCTTTGGTGCCTCTCTCTGGGTAAATCTTTTGTAGGATGAGAGATGGGATGTGGGAGACGGTTGGTAATTCTCGCGCTGCGAATTAGATAGAATACTTCCTTCTCTCGCGAGAGCCGCTATCGATAAAAATTCCGTCCTGCTAGGTCACAGAAAAGCGAAGGTTACGACACTTATCTGTCAGCGGTGTTGTGTTGCAAAGACAATATCACAACTTTTGCGGCATATGTGAACTCTTAAAAAGTACGAATGCAATGCTTTGTGAGTGTAATTAACTTACCTTTCGCCTTAGTGTATTTCCAGTCGTTCGTCAGGCTTTCTCAATCAAGCAGTTTTGGAGACTGAAAGCTGTGTAATGAGAGTGTCCGTCACGCGGGCAAGAGAAAAAATTCAATTTCAAAACAACCTCCGCCCGCATTTCCTTCTTAACACCAACGAAGAGAGAATGGAGTTGCTTATCATTTCAATCGCAAGACAAGTCATCAAAATGTTTTGCGCTACGAAGCTTGAATATCAAACAAGGCTTATCTGAACCCCCATGGACCCGTTCGGCATTCGCATAGAATGTCTTGTGACCAAAATTGACCTGACGGGGGTAGACAAAGGAGAACTGGACCTCCAAAACAAACACGGACTTTTTTATCGACAGTCAGGCAGTTGGGTGGTTTCATATCTCACAGTTTTCCCCAACAATCGAGTTTCTATTATGGCCAAGGTCCACAAAGAGAAATCAACGCAGTTGATTTCATAGAACAGAGACTTTACTTCCCTTTTTAGTAAGTTTGTTTCTTCCAGAGAAGGATGTAGGTTTATCTCGCATGAACTATTATAACATAAGAGAGACTTCATGACTCTTCTTTGACTAGTTTAAATGCACCAACAATTTTGTAATACAAGTCAATCGGTTGATAGCCTGTAAGGCCGGCAAAAAGAAAAGACTGAGAAAGGAACAGTTAATGTTCGATCCAGGGCTCACACTTTGCGCCCGGAGAATTAATATTCCTCTGTTTCTCTCCTTTGGACTCTGACTATGCAGACTAAAAATCGACCGAAATTACCGAGTTACCGTTCAGCGGTCCACGTGATCGACGCACTAAAAGTACTGGAAGCGAGTCGTGGTCAGTGCTTTCCAGATAATGAAAACTATGTGTACACATCTTTCAATGCTTTAGAAAGAGCTTCGGTAAGAGTGCAGCAAGTTAGTGATATAAAGTTTTCTATCACATAAACTGCGGTGTTATACGGGGATTTCCGGCCCTGAGAAAAGCCGTAACAACACACTTGAAAAAATATCTGCTTACACGTCACTCGTGCCACTCGGTCAGGTTGATAAATGAACGGCAAAGCCTTCACGATTCTCAATACAAGCTGTTTGTTGGAGCTTTCTCGAATTATGGCGGCTAAGACACTAAAAAATCCGTATCGCTGACGGACAATGATGTTCAAACTTTCCTAGAAGGGGTAGAAAACCAGTATAGTAAAAGAAAAACCGAAAGTTGCGTCTTCAGTGGCTTTGGTGTTAGCATTTCTGACGGCTGAGAATGAAAATCGACAACTGGAAGATTTGCCTCTGACCGATTTTGGCCGTTTACCTGAAAGACTTCTTCTGTCGGTAAGGACAAAGTCAATAAATGAGAATTTTATAAATTGAAAATTACGACCGTTGTTGTTTTTGTAATAAGGATTCAACGCCCTTTTCCATCTAAAGAGTCAGCGCCAACGCACTCTGCGATTGTTATTCGAGGATTGTCGATTCATTTATTTTCATTCATTGATGAAGTCGGCTTGTCTTCCCATTAAAGGGCTATTGTGTTTATATGATAAACAAAATAATACATGGTTGCTTGTAGATATGGAATTTCTCTTCTCGTGTTCAACTCGACATCTCACTCGTGAGCTATCGAGTTAAACACTCGAAGAGATATTCCATATCTACGCGCGCCCATGTATTATTCTCTATATCCCAAACAACTCAAACCGCGATCATGGCTTGCGCTTCTTCTGCATCATTGGCGTAGAGGTTATTGCTGAGTTAGTGAAATTTAGGACGGTAACAAGAAACAGAAGTAAACAATGTATGGTTGGCCTTAAAATGAGTGTGTATCGCAGAAAAAAAGTTCACGGATGAGAGACGTCTTCTTAAATGAATATTCTCCATTATAACCCTCGGTTGAATGATAAAAAGTATTGCTTGATATAATTTAACCGTCTTTTCTCTTGAAATGACGGAATCGTTTGTGCCAATATTGGAATGGTAGTCCGCTGACTGGTAACTCGGTTGTTGTTCTGTGAGTGGATTTATTCAACACGCTTTAATGTTTTATTTTCTACAAAAAAATGTAAGTTTTCATAGCATTCATGACTCACTCTTGAATCTAATAGTTTGAGGTAATATATCTACGAAGTGAAAAATGCGTAGTGTCCACATTGCAACTAATTGACTGCCAGCAGTTCTACTGTGATGTGAGTAAATTTTCGGACGATTACGGGCGCCTGATTACATTTCTGATTGGTTCAGGCCTCGATTACGTATTGACCTCCTTCCTTGTAGATGTTGAGGTTTTTCAAAGTGGAAACTGTGATTTTCTCCGGCTGTTTGTTCTAACGAGAAAGTAAAATAGTTTTCGTATTAAAAACAAAACGGAACAACCTACGCCAAATAATAAGTCATGGCAATCAAGTTAATATATAGATTTAGCCAAGCCTAAAAGCGGAGCTCGCTTTTTTTTTCCCGCACCTCTCAAGGGCACAACGCCTAGCCCCGGCCAGGACTAGAACCCCGGTCGTCTGACTCGGAGCCCAGTGCACTGACCACTGGACTACTGAACAAAGCCGTGGCGTTGGCGTGCCCGCGGTACAGTTGACCACGCATGTTAAAAGTAGCACCTTGTACGGTCGTACATCCAAATTTTTTCGGCTTGATGGGTTACTACTATTTTGTATAATTATGGGGCTACGCTCTGCGAGCTCCGCTATGATAACACTTACTGGGTCTGTTGGTTTTAGTTGATTTAAGGTTACGTAACTTCTATACACACCTCATATAATTATGTATGGATTATTTTGTCAGTTGTAGCCACTGAACTGAACTCCTAGATTTCAATGTGTATTAGGGCAAGTTTTTTAATTTTTTTTCATCTTACCCCTGCATTTCTCTTTCGAGGTTTCTTCACTGGACCCTCTCCCAAGTCGGTTCCTGGTTTTACATCCTCAATATTCTCGTAAATATTTTCAGGTTCCTCGTTTGCGGCCGGCTGGATCTCGGCAGTGCTTGCATCCGGTTTGGCTTTCTCAGCTTGCTTAACAAAATCTTTTCGACCCTGAAGAATTATGGTTGGCAACAAATCACATTAAAATTCGAACAAACAAGCTGAAAAATTGGCACTATCACGGTCCACTCATTTCCAAAACTTACTTGATCTAGCCCAAAATCAATGCTTTAAAATTATTTTGGTTAGAGTGTTGCAGATTCTAGCAGATTCTTCAAATCTGACACAATGCTCTAAGGGAACCTAAATAATAACTCCCAGTAGACCAAGAAAACTCGTTCGTGTTTTATCAAGGAGAGCGAATACAGATACTGGCCCCATTGTGCGAGGGATGGATGATATTGAACGCCAGGCTAGATTGCTATCCCACGGGTACTTGTCGACAAAACAACCCACATTATCTACCGGGTTGCATTGTATCCCTTGGTTAAGTCACTGGTTCAACCCTTGGATCTGCTTACAATTAATTTACAATCTTTCTGAAATTTTTTGCGTGCTTCCCATTGTTTCATATTCTTACAGCGTTACATCATGTGACACTTAGTGATGCTAACGAAATTTCTACCACCTTTCTATAAGCTACCAGATATTCAAGAGGAGACACCCTCTCTTTGGGAAGTTATCAGGGAACTTAACGCAACTAAATCAATCCCGTGCGATAATTTTCTGTACATTTATGTTTCAAATAATCTCTGTTTTTTCCATTTATTGTACCTTGTTACATCACTCTAAATAATCAAGTAACGCTTACCTCTTTTCCAAAAACAAACATAGCAATGGCCTGAAATAAATTGGAAAAAAACTTAGAAAGTGCAAACTCACTATGCGAAGCTAGCAGATAATGAACATGACTTGGGACCATTATCAGCAAAAAAATTGTGCACTTACATGGCATTAGTGCTGCTTCTAAAGAGGCAGCAATCGTGATATTTGTAAAGAAATAAAAATAAACGGAAGGAGGAAAATGATAAGTTTAAAAGAAAACATAAATAACAGAGGAAGCCATTGCAATCAGTTCCTGTTTAACAGGACTTGAAGACTCTGGTGCAATGCTTTTTGGACGATGTTGAAAAAGTAAATAGAAAAGGAGGATAAACGGATGGAAGGGAAGAGGTGGAGGGATATTTAGAATATAAAATGACGTGTGGTTCACCTGCAAGACAACAAAGGTTGTCAAGATATACTGTTCCGTGAATCGCTCCTTTTCGACAGCTTGGTAGGCAAATGTACAGGTCAAACCGAAGAAAGCCAACAAGATAGCGTCTTTGATCACCCGGAATCTGCCAAGAAGGAAAGTTACACGTGGATTCCTTATAACACGAATCAATATTCACGATCGTTTCCTGACAATCTGCACCACTTTCATCATGGTTATAGAACCCACTACCAAAGTGAGTCGTTCGTTTGGAATCTCAATGCGTTGAAGCGCGTAACAAGATCGCGTTAAGACATTTTCAATTATTTTACACATTTTTACAACCTTTACAATTACTTCAAAACCGTTAAAACTGTTACTCTTCAAAAATGATTGTACCTCATCTCTTCGTAGTCATAGTTGTTTCGAACATCTTCAGTTGGAATAAGAAGTTTCACCAAAATGGCCACATTGAACTGAGACGGAAATAATTATGAAAAAAAACCGGTAGGTGAACAAGAGAGAAAAAAGAAGATGCTGAACCATAAAAATAATCCAGCCTGCGAAAAAGCCTCATTTATTTGCGTTTCTTAAAGGCCATATATTTTCAGTGGGAACGATCTCAGTAGAGTGCTAACGGAACTTAGAAGCGTGTGAGGTTTTTTTCAAGAATTAAAATTATTTTAAAATTATTTGTAACTAGAGGTAGGGTTGGTTTGGGGGGTGGGGATAGGGTGGGAACCTGTTTTGGGTGGGCGGGGTCCTTGTCGTCAGATTCACAATGTTCAGAGCTAAGAATTTCACATCTTACTTCGTGTCCTAAAGCGAAATGAAATACTCACTAAGGCGATGATAAGAACGGGTCCAGCATATCCCCACATAGCGCTGCCTGCTGCTGCTTCCCAGCAACTGTTAAGAAGCAAAATGACAAGCACAAAAAAAAACCAGATTTTATCTGTGCTTTCAAACAAGATCGCTTTAAAAAAAAACCTGTGTTCTAGTTTATTTGGATTTTGATTTATTTTTGTTTCTACCGCATTTTGACATCACCAACGATCTTTGATGTTATATTTGATACGTAACGTGCGTTTAAACATTATTTCTAGATTTTATCTCTTTGACTGTTGTTATTAGCTACAGGTAAATTCTAGCAATGATAAAAGTTATAATAAAGAAGTAAATTTAAATTGCTTACACGTCATCAGGGTTTTTGAGATCAATCTGCACACCAATAGCAATAAGAGCCAGTAGCATTGGCAATCCTGCAATAAACAACAAGACACGCGCTAATGATCGCTGTAACTGCTGTCTTAATCTCGTGCTCAATTCCCCTACAGTCAACCATTTACTTAAATCGTTTTGAAAGGTCACCTCTCGGCAAGCCAGGTAAAACAAATTCCAATCCCTAAAGTTGTGGCTTTTTGTAATAAATGTTGAAATTCGTTCCTACCGCCCAACTTTCCCACTATATAAAAGTGTAATATTTCTGAATCTTACCCCATCCAATTACTACGTAAACGATTTCGATGTTGAGATTTGAGGCAAATATCTTCTTGATCTTTCCATGGATTCTCAGACCGTGGAGAAGAAGCCAGCAAAACTCTGCCAACACTGAAAAATATACGGCGAAGGCCAGGAAACCACAGAGTGTCTAAACAATAAAAAGACAACACAATAAACTTTTAAACTGAAGTTACTTTTGGCAGGAAATATCTAATTAAAGGGACGGGATATGTCCAACAATTACGACACAGGCATTCGGTAACTTATGCTTCTTCAGTTTTAATGAGTTAAAGAATCTTCGTGATTGAGGGTCAGAGTTTTTTTTCTGAAGTTTTTCATTTGAATTTATTCTTCCTTTTAACTGCAAGATGATTTTGATTAAATCCATTATGAGCATAGTGACAGAACATCTGACAGAGAGAGAATGGTAGAGAGAATTTTAGTATTACCTGCTGAGCCTTAACGTGTGCACCAATCAGAAATACACATTGCATGACGATGATGGCGGCGCACATGTTGATACGCATGACTTCTCCTCCGTGGATTTCACTACGAAAACAAACAGAAGGTAAATCCTTTAAAAATTTTGAATAGAATCGCATCTCAAATCTAGGCAGCTTGATAAGGCACGGCAAACCAAAATCATGAATTAGGAGAGAAACTGATTAAAAGTGGCTTCCACTCACACTTTCCAGACGATGTGTACAATTGCCAAGAGGAGGATAAAAAATGAAATTCCAATTCCGATGTACGTATTCGCCAAAAGTTTGAGTTTTTGAGACTCCACCTACAAATGGGAAAAACAACTCAAGGTCAAATGATGGCGTAGAACGGTCTTCAACCATCCTTTTTCTTCTTCTTCTTTTTCATTTTCCTCCTACTCCTAATAATCATCACTGTTATCAACCTCATCATCATCATTTTCGTCAGCAGCCACATTATTGATTGTTATTGGTATCATCGTCATCCACCATCATCATCATCATCATCACCTTTTCGTCATCCATCATCATTATCATCATCGACTTTTCGTTATTTACCATCATCATCGTTAACTTTTCGTCATCCATCATCATCATCATCATCACCTATTCGTCATCCACCACCATCATCATCATCACCTTTTCGTCATCCAACATCATCATCATTACCATCATCATCATTGCCTTTTCGTTATTCACTATCATCATCATCATCGTTACCTTTTCGTCATCCATCATCATCATCATCGTCTATTCGTCATCCACCACCACCATCATCATCATATCACCTTTTCGTCATTCACTATCATCATCATCATCATCGTTACCTTTTCGTCATCCACTATCATCATCATCACCTATTCGTCATCCACCATCATCATCATCATCACCTTTTCGTCATCCACCATCGCGGTCGACATCGTCTTCATTGTCGTCGTTATTGTCGTCATCGTTGTTGTTATTACCAATGGTCATCATCGTCTGCGTCATCGTGATTGTTGTCATCGTTGTTGTCGTCGTGGTCTTCACCGTCAAAGTAGGTCATCATCGTCGTCGTCGCCATTTTCATCATGGTCATTGCCAGTATTATTATCGTCATCGTTGTTGTCTTAATGATGTCATTCACAATTAACGAAAACGAAGTGTCTATTACCTTTTCTTTTCCCACCACAGCGAACAGCCCTTGCTTGCTACAGGCGCAAGATGTGTGTGTGAGGTTTGTTTTCACAACTGAACAACCGCGCCTTGTCCAGCCACCCTTTGATTGAAGTGTACTGGAACCGGCAGATTAAAAGAGGCATAGATTAAATCAATAAAAACTAAAAAAGCTTTACTTCAACAATGTCGGTTGGAATGCGGCTGTTTTTGTTCAAAGTACGTAAGTATTTGGCGTGATTGTTTTTCATATGTGAAAAATGTGGTTGATTGCGTGTGAATTTTAAAAACAGCAGCTGTAGGAATGCAGGTTGAATTAATGACCTTCGCGCATATCATTTTTTCCTTAAAGAGATTCATCACTTTGTATCAAAGCTTGCTAAAATTATTGCTACTAAGAGAAATCTACCAGCATCATCTTCATAAAGTTACGCTGTTAAAGGATGCTCGAAATGTCTGAGTTACTACGTGCACTTAGCGATTGTTTTTAACATAACTAACAACGCTCCCGATGAACATGGCTCGTGGAGGAAGTCGAAATCGACTTACAGATCAGAATTGTCCATAGGCTCGTTCCTAGAGAATGTGAGACACTTGTTTAGAAGAATATTATCATTTATTCTACCTCTACATTACTTCATGATTACTAACTTTGCTTCTTTGTTCCAGGACACGCACGTCTTTTCTCCATTGTAGATAGCAGGGAAGAGTTTCTCGTGCTGGAAAAAAAGAAAAAAATAGTAAAGAACCTTAAAGTTTACATCTCCCCCAAAACACCTCACATAGCTATTAGCTCGCTTGGTACTGGGACTGAGTTTGGGACTGAGTCTGGGAGTAGCATTGGGACTGAGTTTGGGGACTAGCACTGGAACTGTCACACTAGCAGAATCGTGTAACGATAATGAAGTGTATCCTGATTTCCTTGACCAATATGGAGTAGGCCACGTGCCCCTTAGGCGTATGAGTTCTCCCATAACCATACCTTATATGTTCAAAGAAAAGTAATCCTTTGTAAAAAGAGCTAGAATTAAAAACTTTTCGAAAACTACTTGAAAGAACTGATATGGACTACCTAGGGACGGTTTCTAAGGAAGGTATGCTTTGTTTTTGAAACGTAATAAGTTTCAGTGTGCAGTCGGGCACAGAAATTCCAATATTCTTACCATAATATGCTCAAAATTTAAAACGATTCTGTTGTCGCCATCAAGTGGAAGATTGCGGTCCATCTGAGCAGTTATTAGCCGGGAAATAATAAATACTTTGTCTTCAAAGACGCATTCCTTGTCATTGGCTTGGCTAAAAATGAAATCGACAAAGTTAATATTAGTCTTGCAAGCGATGCATCATATGTTTAAGCCACAATGATTCAGCCCACGCGAGGAAGCTGACAATTACTGATTGTGAATATGAGATATCACCGTGAAGTTTAAACCAGCTGAGGTAACTTGAATAACTCCGATTGGTGAAGCAAACATTTCTCATTGAAATCACTGAATTAATCGGAGAAGGACACCATATTTTCTCTTTCCTGCACTCCCGCATGGAGCTTGGACAGAATAACCCTGTCTCCGCATTTTTTTTCTTTTCTTTTTCAACGCGCCTAAAAACATGCCAGCTTCACAGCCTTTTTGTTTGCTAACGAGGATATTCGGCGTTAATTGCCCTGCATACAGCCGTCCAAACGAAGATGCGGGCTCAATATTCTGTTTAGCAGAATTTCGTCGAATACTGTCGGATTAGGTATGGTTATCTTTTTTTACAACAAGTACCTTTCTGAAGAACACGTGGTGGCCGTACCAAGAGGATAATGTGTGTCGTTCACTGTCGGGCTGTAAATCATCACTAAAGCTGTGACGTACTGCTTCACATACTTTGTCACTCTCATTTCTAAAAACAGTAATAACAAAAAAAAAACCAGATTTTTGAAAGACTATAAATTTGAAATTATTGTTTCAAATAAGTTGACAACGATGGTCTTGAATAGCGGGCGCTTGTAGTGGTTGAATTTTAAATTTCCGGACGGGAGAGACAAAACACATTTAGCTAATGGATAGCATAACAGCGCGTGCCCGCTTTTTAACCGCACGCGCCTGTGTGTACGTTTAATTTTTTTTCCGAGAGGGATTATTATCCCTAGACTTCTCGGTCTTCGATCACGGGTTAGTGTGGGTAGGAATCTGTATGATATCTGATTGGCTTGTTCAACGAATGGAACGTTAGAACGCGATAGTTAACTAGTTTTACATGCCTTAATCATTTAATTTGCGCATGCGTTAAGGCCTTCTACGTCGGCGAACTCTTCGATATTTTCGACACGCATCCGAGAACACTTCTCGTCTGTTCGGTCTACCCCTATTTTGCAAAGCTCGAAACCTAGCTGCAAATCTTACCCATGTGTTTTGGATTTGTTACTCGTTTGGCCGTCCCTCTTTGCTATTGATTTGCTCAATCTTAGGTAATTAGGTATGCTTTTATAGTTATGAGTTTATACGGATTTTTTTACGGCCATGCACAAAATAAGTGAAGAAAAAGTGTATCATAACTCTTGTACTCTTTTCTAAATTACAGCAAAATCACAACACATGATTCACACTGAAATTGAAGCAAATTATCACATATCATCTCATACCTATTTCCTTGGTCTCCCACTCAGCTCTGAAACCTCTGAAGGTTTCACTTTTATCAGACGTGAACTGAATCGTAAGGTATCGCCCCGTAGAGTTAATAGTGAATGGGACTTTGGGCTCTCCGCACAACCGCTCTCCTATTTGAAAGGCATCAGTTAAATTCCTTCCGTCGAAAAATTTCATAAAATCATAGAAACACTTTTTATCTTCTTCCAAATGAAATTCCTTCATGTCCAGTTTTACGGTATGATTGACAGGTGCCTGTAATACCCATGTACAGTTCACATTGGTTGGATACTTTTTATGAAACAGAGGAGATGTGATGTTCCCACCGGCTGTAAAATTGTATCTGCAATCTGTCAAGCCAAACAGGAGTAATAAAAATGTTAAGAGCAGGCTCTCCGGCTAATTTTTCTATTGTTGCCTAAGGGGCTTCCTTTGTGGCTCTCCTACAGCGAAAACAGAAGTGCAACCAAATAAAGCGTATACTAAAAATGAGCAAACACTTGTTTTAATAAGAGGAGCGATTCTGTAGTTTTGTGGTACCTTTTCTTTGCCTCCATTTCAAGTAATTGAAAATGGAAATAGAAGCAGGAAGGATGGAGACTAGAAAAGGCAAAGTAATTTTTCTTGTATACCAAAATGGACGAGCTACCAATTTTCCAAAGCCGCAATTTGTTACATGTGTACCGCAGGACGTTTGTACTGCAGGACTTTCAATTTCGAGCTCCAGGCTCACAACCGAATGACTTACCAAGGAGAAGCAAGGGAGGGGGGGGGAGGAGGCAAATAAAAGTTTTTGAGTACTTGAGATTGGATCTGTTGCCGCGCTAGGCTGTTGGCGGGAATGGATATATTATATTCAACTTCTAAGATCAATTCTGCACACCGTTATAAGTTAAATAGCTTGATTTTTTTTCGGTGTTTTTTTTTAATTACTTCAATTATGGATCATTGTAGGTCCAGGCGTGGCTTTTCTTACCGCATTTCTTGGTTTCTTGGTTATGGCCATGACATTTACCGCCGTACAGGGCTCCTTCACACGTCCGTGTTCGCTTTTGTTCAAATTTATTGTCACATTCTGACCAACCACTCCAATTGCCGAAATTGCCATCAACTAAACATAAAACAAAGTAATTAATTAACTACGGTATTCAAAATTGAAATTTCAACGGATACGCGTCAAAGGATTTGTCTGTGCGTTTAGGTTTCCAATTTTATCTTGGTTGATATTCATTTGATTTTCCCTTTGTTCTTCTGGAGAGTGGAATTGTAACGGTAAGGTATCTTTCCCAGGAGCCCTTACGATACTCTCTCCAACCCAGATTTCCCTCATCTGAGCGTCTCCCTTCCATCTTCCTCTCAGGAAAGTGAGGCACGATATGGTATCAGGCCTCAGTTTTTTAAGCATCAACTTACCGACTTCTCTATGTGTAGCATTGAAAGCGCTGGGTTCTACTTCAAACCTCCCAAATGTGGTGCCATTTGTTGCATTCTTCAAGGCAGCAATCACGGAATTAGCGAGATCTACGCCAATAACATCCAGATAGAACTCAGCCCGGACGTCATATCCACCGGTAGCGCTTTGACTCAAAATTATATAAAACACATATGATTAAAAGTATCCTGAACAAGTGGTCTCAATAGAAGAGCGCTTGTATTTACAGACATACGCCAGGTTTCCTCACTTCAGTGTCCCTGAAATTTTGCTACAGTCCATAAAACTTACCTAAATTTCAGTATCTGTACATCATGTACTTTAAGTGGGTTGACTTTGGGATCCCGCTGAAAGAAAAACGTAATAAACAAGCATACATTAAAAATATGTTAACAGAGATTTTATTGTTAGATTTTAGTACGTTCATAAGAGAAGAGTAACATTGTCAAGTAATATTTTCACGAGTCCTTTCTATGTGCGGAGGTAATCGAAGCGAGAAGAATTTTTAAGTGTCTGGAAGATGTAAAGGACAAAAATATAAATTTTCCAACAGCTGAGATTGAACCCAAAAGAACAGCCTCCGATTCAAAAATAAAAGAATCTCTTTTTTATGCCCGAACGAGATACACACACCCAAAGGGCTTGTGTGTCGGTGGCATTATAGCACCAAATGTAATTACATTATTATTTTCTTTCCATTCCATCCATTGTTTGAGATGCCAAGAAACAGTATCTAGCTTAAGGAACCCAAATAAATAAAAAAGACTCCTCGTTCAGTTTTTCCACCGTTATAAAAATTTTTATACCAAAGATCTGATGAGTCTATAACATACCGTATCATTTTTTATTTCGTCTGCCAGCTCTTTATAAGACGATGAAGAATTGTCATTCAAGCTGTGGTTGAATACTCTGTTTGTTATTTTCATAGTAGTTTCAAAGCGTTTCACTGGATGAAAAACAAAAATAGTAATGATTAAAGTCATCTTCATCGTTATTATCATCATCATCATTGAAATCATGATAAGACTCTCTGATGTTTTGATGGAAGGCCTGATCTGAAGAGCCTAATTACTCAGGTAGGGCAGTCACAATCAATCGGAATCCAGCCCAATCTACAATCTACGCAGCTGTACAAGGGTCTGTACTGCAGGACTCGACTGAGTCAAGTCCTGCCTGCCTATCCGAGAGCCTGCTTGGTATACCGGCAAAAAGTCACGTCAAGAACAGGATAAGCTTGTTAATCTTGATTCTCTCCTGTTCGTTTCTAATCAACTAACTAAGGAAATAAGAATGATAACTTTAATGAGCGCGATAATTAATCGAGGAAAGCCCTCTTAATCAATCAGATTCAAGACTAAATTAATCACTTCTTTTTCCACGATAGAAACCAGTTACGTTTTCAACTCTAATTTTTATTCTCCTCGGCTCCAGTATTTCCGGGCTTATATCTATGACTGGGCATTGTGATTTCTTTAGGTTTTTCTTTACGACACTCAGTCAAAATAGGTTTTAGTAAACATAATAGCTGCAAAAACGGGAGCAGGAAGGCCGGGGGGGGGAGGGGTAACCCTTCCGACTAACCATTACACGGGAGTGGCCCACACTAACCATTACACGGGAGTGGCCTACAGTTTGCCTCTCTCCTGACACGTGAGGGATGATACAGCATTTGGAATTCCTGGAAGTCATCAGTCTCGTCCTCTTCTTCAGCGCCGACTTCCATGGTCATTTCAATGTGGACATCTCTTCTTTTTCTTGAGTTGGAACTCTTCGGCCGAGTGGCTTGAATAAAGAGATGAAGACGGAATTCTCGAAAACTCACATTTATCGAATTCCACGGAGAAAAAGGCCAGGGGTGCAAGAAGCATTACTGGAGGAGGAGGAGGCAGGTGAGGTGTGTCTCTGTTATCTTATTGGATTTTCAAACAAAGCGAGGTGTTTTATCATATTTATAAATTATTACTCTTTCAAACGAGAAG